CCGCCGCCGCCGCAGCAGCAGCAGCAGCAGCAGCAGCAGCAGCAGCAGCAGCAGCAGCAGCAGCAGCAGCAGCAGCAGCAGCAGCAGCAGCAGCAGCAGCGGCAGCAGCAGCAGCAGCAGCAGGCAGGGCAGACGCCAGGTGGGGGCTCGGGGCGAGGCGGACGCGCCCAAGGGCGCGACTGCGCCTGCGGCGCAGCGCCGCGCAAGGTAGCACAGCCGGCGCCGACGAGTTGCTGTGGTGCGCACCGGGGGCCGCCCGCCGTCAGCCCCTGCGCCGGCGAGCGAGGGGCCCCCTGCGCCGGCGTGGCGGGCCGTGTGGCCCGGCAGGGTTGCGCGCTAGCCCGCACGCGTGCCTTCAGGCTCCCCTCACCCTCCCTCCACCTGCGCGGTCCCACTTCCCCTCACCGCACACATGCCGCAACAACAGAGGAATCAGCACTCATCGAGCGGCCAACAAAGAAAGAGCAGGAAGGGCTGCTAAGGGCGACCGGCCCCAACTCAAGCCTGGTAGGTACAGGCGGGGCAGGGGCCAGGCGCCCGAGCGCGCGCGCCGCGCTCAGAAGAGCGCGGGCGGCCCCGCCGCCTGCGCCTGCGCGGGCCCCGCCAGCCCTGGCAGCAGCTCCTCCCGCTCCGCCTGCTGCCGCCGCTGGTGCTGCTGCAGCAGCTGCTGCTGCCGCTCCCACACCTCCTGCCGCCGCTGCCGCTGCTGGACCTGTCGAGCCTGCTGGTGGCTCAGCCGCTGCTGCCACACGCCCAGCAGGCTCGTCACCTTGCCGGTGTCCTTGAGCTGCCCGATGCGGTGCGCCAGGCGCGCCGCCTTCTCCAGTGTCGCAGTCATGTCGCTCTTTATGATGGAACCGGCGACGCTGCGCTCGCTGCCCGCGACGCTGCGCGGCGTGGCTGGCGCGTCAAAGCTGTGGCCGCTGCAGCGCGACAGGCTGCGTGGCGTCAGCGGCGCGGCGCCATCGAGGGACGAGTGGGAGTGGCGCGACAGGAAGGAGGCGTCGCCGCCGCCGCCGGGGAGGACGGCCAGGCCCGGGGGCCCGTGGGGCCGCCGCGAGTGGTGCTTGCTGGGGCGGTGGCCGCGCTGGGCCGCCGCCGCCGCCGTCTGGTGGAAGCGCAGGCCGAGGCTCCAGGCGCGCTGCTTCGGGCCGCCCGCACGATCCGCGCCGAGCGGCACGCCGAGCGGCACGCCCAGGCCCCCTTCTGTGCGGCCACTGCTGCCGTCCTCTGCGCCGTCCGCCTTGGCAGTGATCTTGTAGGCCTGTGGCGGCAGCGCCTGCGGCGGCAGGGGCCCCTTGCCCGCGGCAGTGCCGGCGCCGCCC